TTTGATTTTTGAAAGCTCTAAATCATTTTTCAAAGTTTCATTTTGTTTTTCAAAATCAACTTTTCCTTTCAAAATCAAATTATTTTCAACTTTAAATTTTGAAATTAATTTCTTATATTTAGAATTCTTGGCCTCAAATTCCAAATACAACTCATCATATGCATCTTGTAACTCTTAAATGAATAAGAATTTAAATCAAAAGAGTTAAAAGTTATCACCGAGTCTTCTTCGATGGCCATGAGGCATAGATTGGCTACTTTATCATCATCGCAGTTTTCTTCATCACTCCAAGCCACCACAAATGCCTTCTTTTTGCTTGATCCCTTCCTCTTTAGGAGATGACATTCATACTTGACAAGTCCTGTTATTTGGTACTCAAAGCATATCGAGGGACCTTTCTTATTGCTCGATTCATGCTTCTTGTCTTCTTTGGATGAAATGAATCGTTTAAATTTTTTAAAGAACTTGTTCATTTCTTCTTCTTCATCCTCTTATTCACTTGAGGTGCTTTCATCTTGAGTAGAGGATTTCAAGGCAACACATTTTTCTTTTTTTTTCTTGTTTCTTCTCTTCTTTTTGTTCTTCCTCATTTTCCATCATCTCATGAGTGAGAAGGTAGGCAATAAGTTCATTAAGCAATAGGGTTTTTAAGTTTTTCGCTTCAATGATCGTCGTCTTCTTCGATTGCCAAGATTTTTTAAGAGAACATATCATCTTCCTAACAAGATTCTCGTTAGGGATGATCTCTCCATATCCCTTGAGATAGTTGACACTCACGAAAAATCTATTCGTCATAGCTTTGATGTCTTCATCCGGTTTCATCTTGAATTTTTCAAGGCTATGATTGAGAATACCAATTTTCGTTTACGTTACTTCATCGGTTCCTTCATGAGTGACTTGGAGCTTGTCTCAAATATCATTGGCATTTAAACAAGAGAAAACTCTTCCATATTCATCTGGGCCTAATGCACAAAACAAAATGTGCATAGCCTTAGCATTGAGTTGGAACTCTTTCTTCTCTCTTTCACTCCATTCTGCCATAACTCTAATTGGAGTAGAGTGACTCGTCAAGGTAGAGTTCCAAGCATCTAGATCGGTAGCTTGAATGAAGAGCATCATCTTGTTCTTTCAATAAGCATAATTTGCTCCATTGAAATAGGGTGGCTTGTTAACCGGTTAAGAATATTCGATATAGTAAGCGCCAGAGGAAAAAGCTATATTCTCGGTTGCTTTAGGAAATTGATGTGGAGCTTCAAGGATCTTCACAAGGTTGTTATACCTTCGATTTTTGACCTCCTCTGATACCGATTGTTAGGATTTATGAAGTTCGATCGATTAATCGAAATATGCCAAGAGGGGGTAAATTGGTTTTTTGAAGTTTAGGGAGTAATGAGTATAAAGATAGAAAATTTGTACAATGATTTATAGTGGTTCAATTCTCTGAATGAAGTCTACATCCACTACCTAAAATCATCACTTAGAATTTTCCAACAAATCCACTAATGCATTCTTTCTTTTTCAAGGATAAAGAGATAACCTTTACAAACTCCCTAGCTTTTCAAAGGCTTATCTATAACCAAAACTCCTTTACAAAGGAAAAGAATTGTAAACAAGAAAACCTCTAAAAAGGAAGATGTTTACAAATTAAAGCTCACTTGATGATTAATGCTTTGATAAGTGTTGTGTATCCTTCTTCAAGTGTCTTGAACTTGTTTTTATATATTAGAATGAGTTACTAGCTGATTCTAGCCGTTTGGGAAGATTTGGAGCCGTTGGAAGACTTTCTGCACACAAAGTTTCGAAAATCTGAGAAAGTTTTGAAACTCTTCGAAAGAGCCGTTGAAAAAATATGACCGTTGGAGTCAAAGTATCGAAACTTTTTGGGAAACTGTCTTGGAAAGTTTCGAAACTCTTATTGAAAATTTGGAACTTATGGTCAAAATACTCATTTTAAGGTTATGATCGGACTTTGAATTATTTTTGAAAACTTTAAATAAATTCAATTTAATCCAACAAACATTTTGTCCTTATTTATTATATCAAAATACAAGTTTTATATTTTTTTAATGTTGTTCAAAGAACCTTCCTCTTCCTTAAAAAAAGATTAATTAGAGTAATAATATAACATCCTTGCAGTAAATCGATGTAGCAATTAAGGCCAGATGTTTCCCATTTAACCTTTTTAGAAAGTGAAAAGATTCGAGATTCGAGTTCTCCCCTTAGAACTTAGTATATGTAACAAAATACAAGCCCGTAGTAATAATAAAAAAAGTCAAATCAATTTTTACCCTATGACAAAGGTCAAGTCAATAAGCTCAAATTTTAGTTTTATATGTTACCCTTTAAGAAGAAGAAGAAAAACGAATCGAAACCTCTTTTTAGATTTTTTACAAGTATGGAATTTTTACTCTTTATTAATGTCTTTTATTTCAAAGCCTATGTATTATATTGCTTTAGAAATATGATTTTTCTAGCATAAGTACGCAATACTGTTATTTTACTATATTTTTGGACCGTTCAACTTTCTTTTTCTACCCTTGCTTCTCATTTGTGGATTGTAATTCACTCGTTCAATTATTAGCTGCACCATTCATCCATACCCAAAACAGGGCAGCATCTAATCTTCTTTATCAATCTTTGCTGTCACTTTCACTTTTGCTTTTGTTATTTTCACTCTCCTTCTTTTGACCCTACACCCAAACCAAGGGTTTCAATCATGTAATATGCATCCCATGAGGACGTGACTCATGATGTATATCAAGAATACATTGATTTTTCATTCCTGACTGCTAACCTTAAGCCACTCAATTTTTGTCACCAAATACTGTTTTTCTTTAGGAAAAATGTACATGAGATTGTTTACTTTAAATATCATTTAAAGATTCTTGCATGGTGTCATCCTTGCCAATCATGAAATTGGCACTTGGCAGATTGCTGCTCGTCTCTTTATTTACTGACATCACCTTCTTTTTTCATCTTTACAGTTGGAAAATACTTTATTGATGCAATTCAGTTACAAAATTCTGAAAGCAAAAGAAAAGAAAACCCATAGAGGCATTGTCAAAAACACTTTCCTTGCTAAAAGTGGCTTTTTCATTAGTCTTTTAGTTACCAAATGGCTTTTAAGACAAGAATACATATAAATTATTATGTTGTATGTTTTAAGATAATTAATAATAATACCTTAGGGGTGCTTATCGAGCTAGTCGATCGCGAGTTAGGCAGTGCTCGACTCGTGCTCATTAAAAAATTTTGATGCTCGACTCGTTGCTCGTTAAAATTGTGTTCGACTCATACTCGTTAAAAAAATTACTGCTCGACTCGACTCGTTGCTCGTTAAGCTCACTAAAAAAATTATCTTATTTTTTTAACTAAAAATAAAATTTACTAATACTATATGAGGATATTAGGATTGGGATTTTTTTATTAAAAAATATTATTAATTAATAATATTTTATTATTTATTAAAAAAATAGATTAGTTAACTTATTAAATTATTTATTAATAAATTAATAATTATTATTTAGATTTATTTTTTGAATGAAATAATTTTTAAATAATTACTAAAAATATATTTTAAAAAATTAATGAGTTGCTCGCGAGCTTATAGAGTCGAGTTAGACTTTGCTCGACTCAGCTCGTTAAGATCTTCAGTCGAGTTCAAGTTCGAGTAGAACTAACTCGAGTCAAGCGTTTACCGAGTTTTGACCGAGTCGAGTTCGTACTACTCACAAGCTAAGCACCCTACCCCAAAAAAATAAAAAGAAAAAAAGAAACTTTTTTGTGGGGTTAATTGAATAAATGTTATACTTTTACGTCAACTATTTTACTTCAACACTACCCTTAATGAAAGCCAAGACTAAAACTGTCGGACAATAAAGGATTACAAATGCTAAGATTGGAGTTGAAAGTCACGGTTTTTTCGGATGCCCATCTCTTAAGAATTAGAAACAACTTGACTAAACCTGGGTTATGACCTAATTTTTTCACAGTTTATTTCTGCTTGATTGTTTTTGTTAGTTGTCCCTGAAGAAAATGCACCATTACAAAATTCCAACCACTCAAATCCTCCAAAAAAAAATGTCCCCTCTTTCTTTTCAATTGAACAACAAGCAGTCATCAGGAAAAAAATATATGGCAGGCATTCCATCACAAGGAGGCCATCAAATCCAACTCCTACTGGGATGACCACACTTGTCATAACGTGTATGGACATAAGCAGACATAAGGGTACAAGGAAAACCGTCCAATTTATGCACCTGGTTAACTCCAAATCATATGCTCCAAAATGGGTTACCTAAAGTTTGATCATCCACGACAACTTTCAAGTCCTTTTCACTAGCATGATAATGTAACCATCAAGCATAAATCTTATCAAGGCATAAGCATGCGAGGCAGAGCTGTTTCCATCAGACATGTTTCATGCAATGATTCAATCGACACTAGGAAAGGTACATTTCAGTGATAAAATTTACCTAGTGTGAAACATACCGAACCTGATGTTCACCAGATTGTTTGGTGGTGCCCTTAGGAAGTTATCTTTAACTTTAAAATGCTGGTTGGTGGTGCCCTTAGGAAGTTATCTTTAACTTTAAAATGCTGGTTGCGATCAACAGTCCAATATAGGCACGTAACGAGTAGTGTCTATGACAGACATCGGTTGATCTTTAAAGTGTTGTATGAAAGAAATATTACCAATTTGGTCGATGAAGCGACTTTTTAAAGAGGAGATGGATGATGTGATAATGAGAAAACTGTTGCTACAATCCATCCTTTAAGAATCATCCTTGAACCTCAATGGTTGGAGGTGCTTGGCATCATCAGCTTGCATGCTAATAATGAAGCCAATACCTGTCAAACAGACTGGGGAGACGGGAACCAGTTGCTGGGAGATTTTGGCATGTAGTAACTAGTTGCTAGTTCCGCAATGTAATTCTATGCAAGAAATGCATTACCTTCTTGGAAAAACGTGACTGAATTGATATAAACGAGATAAATCAGAATAAAAATCAGACAAACGTAACATCTTTTTAATCTGATAAATAATTTTGTTCATAATATAACATCATAATCCAATAGTTTTGAATATCAAGACAGAAATACAATTCAATATATTGAGATTGTCTTCTGCATATTTGTGACATGAAAATAATTTTGGAAGGTATGCCCTGTGGAAGACCTTCATGTTTTTGATGTAAAAAGATATAAAAGACCAGCTAATGAAACATGGTTCTGCAACTCAACATTCCTGACAACAGATTATTCACAATAATATCTTATTAAATAACGGCAAGCTTAGACACTTCCACACCCCCACCAAAAAAAAAAAGAAGGAAAGAAAAAAACATATAAGGCTCTAGAAAAAGGGATCAAACAAAGGAGGAGGTTTGAACTTCAGGAAGAACCTGTTTTAATACCAAATGGAGTTCATAGAATCAAGTTGAGCAAAGCTAATTAGAGTTTAGCTCTGCTTCGCCTGCATCCATTCTACAAAGTTGTCCAGGATCAAAGGCCAAGCAAGGTCTGGATTATAATTACAGAGGTCCGGGAAATTTATCTGCTCATATATCAAAAACAGGAAAATGCAAGCACTTGCTCAATTATTAACATAAGGAGGATCTCAAACGAGACAAATTACTGGTAACTGTGTAATCATGCCAAATAATGGTGCAAGGATGCAGGTAAGAATTATGTTTTTATTAGAACTACAATATTGCATCCCCTTTATTTCTTGTTATCTGTCCTATCTGATGATAAATAATAGAAAAAAGTATACTTATCATTCATAGAACAGCAAAGATCGACAATTTCCTACCATTTATATAGTTTCAATTCTTATGCTAAAGAAAGTTGCTTTGTATTATTGTTCTATATTTGCGAGAAAAAATAAACCAAGAAGTTTAGAAATCAGTTCGAGCCAAAATATACATAGTTTTAGCAATGAATGAAGATAATAACAAAAAGTGGATAAAGGAAAATGAAAAGAACAAAAAAGACACCAATAAAAACATTAAAACTCTCATGAGCAAGGATTCAATTATAATCACAATCTGCAAAAAGAGAGGGCACCCCTTCAGTCCTCTCTATTATTCTACAAATATGCTAAACATGCCAATTGCTATTATGTCTTCATATAACTAGTAAGAACGTCATACAAAAGACACTAGTATAATTCTATAAGTTATCCAAGAGTCTTTTAAAATATAAAAATAAAATGATTTCTGTGTGAGGATGACCTGTGAAATTAAAAATTATTCACCGACAATATTTTGCACGATGGAGCTTCTAAACTTGGGAAAACAATAGAAATTTCCATGACAAGAATTAACTTTAGCGTACCTCATTGCAGAATCGAAAAAAGCCCATCCATTGATCCAAGTTTATGACCTTATAATCGCTCTGAATCTACATTAGAAGACAAGCATCGTATGAGGCTCTTTTTTCATTGTTTTATTTTTTTTAGGTTTGGATAGAACAGTATTTAGAATTATGGCCTCAAAAGGGCAAATTTTCTCTGTAATCTAGTCTATTTTCTAAGAGATTAAACATTTAGATCAGATTAACCCTATTTTCTAAAGAAATATTTGAAGATTCCATCAGTATAACTATGTGCCCCAATCTAATAATAGATTTAACAGATTTTAACACACACATTTATATACAACCCTAACAGCTAAAACTGAAATGACATCACCCCCATAATAATATAGAACTTTGTGCCTGTATAAACAGAAACATGAAGGAAATGAATAAAATAGGCAGAAGCAACTACAACCCCAGAGGTCAAATGCAATAATTGTCGCAACACACCTTCAAATACTCAATAAAATAGTCAACCTGTGCACGGAATAGGGATCCTAAAACAAGATCCAGCAGTTGACATATGCTTTCTATATCAATACTCTTTTGTTTCTCCTCTGCAACGGTGAATTCAAGAAAGTAAGTAGGAGCAACCGTGAATCAAAGAAACTAGGTAGGAGCGCAATCAGGAAAAAGAGACGGTGTACAGACATCCAAGCTACATGCCACAATATTATCATAATACCTGTCAGGCAATAGCAGAATGAATAGGAATAGAAATCCTCGAAGTTTGATGGTCTCCTGACCTATTTATAATATAAAAAGAAAACATCATCACTTTTGCATACATTTCCTAAATAATAATCATACACAAGAATCAAGTCAATTAACCTCGGGCATAAAGCAGTTCAGAATTTTCTACCTCTTTTTCTAGCTCTGGCAGGGCCTTCTTTAATTTACTTACAGTATCAGCCCTGAGTGCTTTTAATCCTCTTCGCCATTCCTCCTATAAAGATAAGATTCAAATTCATTTTCAATGGATAATTTAACTACAAGCATGTACAAGAACATAAAAAATACATAGAGAGCTTGGGATTTAAGGAATCATTATTTTGCTAGTTACATGGGAAAGAGCATCAGCCACCCTATATCCAGGCTATTATGACACTCTTAATGAGGATCATAACTGTATGAAGAAGAAACTCCAATCGACAAAACTTTTTTTAAAATAAAATCTAAAAAGTATTTCCACAACTCTTAGATACCATGATCGAATCATAGATATCGGAAATCGATCATAATATGTACTATCAAGACCAAAAAATGGCAATTAACAAAACTGTTGCTGAACAGAAATGTAGGCATCACCATGCAGCCTACAGCCCTACCTGCCAAACTTAACATAGAAAGGGAGACCTAAAACTGATTATTCTATGCAATCATGCCATGATAAAGAAGAAAAATAATCAGAGGGCATAGGAAACGATAGCAATTTCATTCAACCAAAATATAATATATCACATTAACAGTTAAATTACAAAATAAATGGAAAAGGTAAACAAAAAAAATCCTACCAGGGTAAAGTATCCTTGTCTTTCGGCTTTCATTTTCCTGACATAAGCACAATAGTTTCAACATAAAAGCCTAAGATTAAAGTTATAAATGAGTTATTGGACGAGTTTATAAGGCAGTTACCAAGCAAGCATCAAGATCCTAACATCTGTGTGATCAACTTCCATGTCGGAACATAGAGTTTCAATCCCTTCTGGGCTGTTCAAATGGTGTATCATAACATTAGAATGTACAAAATAGTCAATGAGCATTTAGCTTTTTGTAATGATGATACTAAATTTTAATGAACAACTCTAATAAATTATAAAAACTGTAATTTAACATGCAGCTTTCAGCAAGACAGCAACCCTACTTCCGCTTTGCAGTGATAATCTTTCCACGTACAAAGGCTTTCCAAAACAAAGGTAACTATATTTTTGTGCATGACCCCCTGAACCAATTCCATTGTTATTTGGGCACTTTTATTCTATGCAGTTATATCTCTTCAATTCCCATAATACCCTCATCCAATACATCTGATATACAGAAGTATGGAATTCCAGCCTTCTTGAAAACTTAGAGAAGATGAAACCAATTCTTGTTGGAAACATACCTATATCTGGTACTTACTACTGAGTCTGAGCAACATGGAGAGTTGACTATTGCAAACGACTAGTTAGCTCGACTTATAAACTATACGCGTGAATCAATCAACCAATCATTCTATAAATTGATACAAGCAGAATACCCTTCAAAATTCTCTAAACAGAAAACCGAGACCCACATAGAAAATTTAATCTTAACCTCATTACAGCTCCCTATAGAGAAAACAAATCCTATAAACACAGCTTAAACGAAATAATATTTTGTATGCTCCAATGCTTAGCTATTGTGAAATCATCTTTCGTCAACATTGAAAATGTTAAGAATTAGACCTTTCCGAAAAATACTTTTGAAATTTGAACTCAATATTTTATACAAAGCAGAAATTTAACAAACAGATAAACAATTGCTTATATGCACATAAAGTTCAATTGAGCAGTAGATTCTGAACAAGAAGGGATGAACTCAATCAGCATGTCAGTTATCTAATCTAAAAGATTTAAACTTCATAGCATATTGGCACTTTGCATCATCATGAGCTCACATATCAGATTGTGACTCGGATCCCTAACATCTATATGAAAGATAAGTGCGCAAAGTCTCCATGGAAATATCACTTTAATGGTTGTACTAAACAGATATAATGCAATAGTATATGTACGTTGAAAGACGTTACCTAAAAAATACACAATTAAAAAGGAGTTGGATGTAACATATACGGAGATATCTAAAATCCATATAACAATATAATCCTCCAAAATTACAAAGGTACCAAAATACCTATTTTCCCTTTAATGTAAATACCAAAATTACAAATTTTCTTACTGAATTGCATATTCCACAAAGCACTTACTCAATCATACCAGACGACCTATTGGCATAAAAATAAAACTGGTTGTCAATCCGCTCCATCTCCTTTGAAGATGCCTTACTTGAAGCTGAGAAATATAAAACAAAGTGTAATGTCATTAGTTACAAATCCTTAGACAGCTTAGTCAATAAATTTGAGAAATAAATAACTTTAAAGCATTTTAAATACATAGTCTACAATGAAGTATTAAGTTTGATGAAAAATTTGTTCTGGGGTGTGTGGAGCTCTATGTCATCTTTCAGAGTAAGCTTTGGTAAATAACATGTTAATGAGAGGCCAAATTGAACCGTGGGATTGTTATGATTGGCATCTTGGATTGGAATGCATAACCGGTATAGCATATTAGATTCAGAACTAAAAAGTTCAAATTCTTTTAAACAACCCCTTATAACAGAGTTTTCTATCTTCTATTGCTCTTTGAGATTATTTTTTTAACAATTAAGTGCACATTAATCCTAATGAGTAAGCTTTCAATTTTTTTATAATCGCATTTGAATTACGATTTTCACATATGTTTCAGGACAAGTTCAGATTTCTTACCAGTCTGCCTTTTATTTCTAATTAGAGTAGATAACAAAATTGGTAATTAGTTCTCTCATATACTCTCAGGAACTACTAGCACAATCTCCAGTACCTTAAGTTACAACTTCCATAAGTTAAAGCTTGAAAGAACCATCTTCAAAACTTATTTGATTGCTTTCAAGAAATTCTTATTTCTCATTTATTTATCACTATTCTCACTTTCTCAGTTTTTCATTTCCTTACATCAAATATAATCTATCAGCATTTTTCAACTCATTCTTTAAATTGCTCAAACTTTGGGGGAGAAGCCCAATCTTGCCAACAGCTATATCATACATGCAACATATATTGATAACAAGATAGAATTTGTTCTCAGTTATGACCAAGGATTTTGCTTCAATTTTCAACTTCTCTTACTAAACTCAAACATAATTTTAAGATTTAACTATCTTTTTTCTAATAAAGATTTAACTACCTTAAAAAGATTGCATTCAAGCTATACTATAATGAATAATCTACCTAGGATTTTGCTTCAATTTTCAACTTCTCTTACTAAACCCATTTTTTTCACACTTTAATATTTAACTATATTAAGAAGACTGATATCAAGCTATAATCTACCCTCAAGGATTTTGCTTCAATTTCTCTACTAAACATGATTTTCGAACACACCTTCAAGATTTAACTGCCTTAAAAAGACTGACATTCAAGCTATAATTTACCCTTACGATTGACATGTATTCCCTTAAGGTTCAAAGACGTTCTCTTCCCTATTGTATCTAAGTTCTAAAGATTTATTCTTATTTTTCCTCCCCGTTTTCCCAGTTTTAAATAATTTCTTAGGAGAATTAATTTCAAAATCAAACCCCAATCCTTTTGCTAAGCTTAACCTTGCTACCTTAAAAAAAAGCTTAACTTTGGTAGATAGCTCAACAATATCCGCAAAATCTACCAGAACTACACACGCATATAGTTACTTTGTTTCTTTTTTCAACAAAAACGACCTTGAATGATGCAAAAATCGTATCGCTTCAAGAAATCAATCAGAGAACTGGAAAATAAACAAAATTTAAAAATCTAACAGACGGTAAAATTTTGAAACAACGAATAAGAGAGAGGGAAAATCAAGAGGAGAATCCAGCTCCATCAAAATTTGGAACTAAAGAAAGGATTAGAGAAAAAGGGATATACCGGAGCGAAAGAGATCGGAGGGAGAATAAGGAATCGGGTTGGTTGAATTGGTTTGACCCCTTTTTTTGGATGCAGATGCAGAACGACGCATCATAAACAGCAAACAAACCCGGAATAAATCGAAGCTTCGTCGCTCGGCAATATTATAACAAAAACAGTTTTTCATTTATTTATCTACTTATTTAAGGATTCGAAGGTCCTATGTTGAACGAAATGAAATTCAACGACTAATTTACGTTTCTCCAAAGACTTGATTGTTACCTTTGGCTGACCGCTCTATCCATTTTATCTTGTTTCTTTTTTCTTTTTTCTTTTTTATCCAGCTAGTTTTTCCTTTAGATTGGGTGTCCTTTTTTTTATTAATTTATACTATTTATAAGTACTAATATTTATTTTAAAGATTATTACTTATTTGATAATAAATACTCAAATATCATGATGATATATAATTATAAATATAGATAATATTATTGATTAAATAAATTAATTTCATTAATTGTTGATCATTTATCTCTTTTAATTTAAATAGAAAAAACAATAAATAAAAGAATAATCATTGTCCATTATAATTATTTGTATGTTAATTTATTAAATAGATTTAATCACTAAATCTTAAATTTCACTTTTATAGATTAAGTCCTATCTATGTATTATAATAACTCGAAAGTCTCTAATATAAAGAATACATATTCCATAAAAAGTTTAACAGAAAAATATTTGAAAAATTTTACGAATTGAAACTTTTTTAAAATAATCTCTAAAGGTAAAATAAATATGTATGTGGATAAATCATAAATATAATTAATCATTAAAGCATAATTAATCTAGTAAATAGTTAAAGTCTGAGGGGGTTTAGGTTTGACGAACTTAGTTTGTTGGAATAAGGTGTGTTGTTTTCTTCTGATTAAGAAACATTTAGTTAGTGCTGGTTCTCTTTGGGTGGCATGGGTCAAGGAGTATGTCTTGAAAGGGATTGGTTTTTGGGATGCCAGTTACAAGCCTCAATTTAGTTAGATTTTGAGAAAGCTTCTTAAGTTTAGGAATGAGGCGGTTGAGTTGTTTACTAGTGTGGAGGCTTGGGATGTGGTGAAAAGCAGTTGGGGGAAAGAGTTAGAGATAGAAGAGAGAAGGTACTGTGGGAAGATCTTATATGGTTTCCTTTACATATCCCAAAAATGTCAATTATTGCTTGGATGGTCATTTTAAATAGGTTGTCTACTAAAGTCAGTCTCATTCACATGGGGTTAGATTCGGGTGGGAGTTGTAGCCTTTGTGAAAATGGGTTGGAAAGCAAAGAACATTTGTTTAATGACTGTGTTTTTGCTGGTGGAGTCTGGAGGAGAGTTATGCAGGCCTGTAGGTTGACTTGCAGGTCAATGTGTTGGAATGAAGCTTTGGCTTGGGCAGTTACTAATTTCAAAAGGAAATCTTTGCTTGTTTGTATCTTGAAGTTGGCTTGGATTTGATTTATGTATTTTGTTTGGGAAGAGCGTAATCTTAGGCGTTTTAGAGGATGCTCTTGTTTAGTTGATGAGATCTTTGAATGCGTTAGGATTGCTGTTTGTGCTAAGTTACAGGGTCGTAGTATTAAAAAGCTTGACAGAGTCAATTTGCAGCTTTGTCTTTACTGGGGAATTTGTTGATTTTAGTTTCCTTTGTTGCTGGGCTTATAATGTTGTTGTCTTGGTTGTTTAATTGTTGAGGAGAGTGGTTCTTTGGGGACATGAGGTTCACTGGAAGACTCATCACTTTACAGAGTTTGTTTTTCTCTCTTAATTCTACTGAAATGTTTTGATTCTTACATGTTTATATCTTGGTTTTTTTTATTATGGTATGAGTTGGTTTTTGAATAGGTTTGTTGTTTTGATTGGTGCCTAGCAGGATTGACTGTTTGGTGGTTCTTTTGTAGCAGGCGTTCCTGCTTTCTTTTGGGTAATAAGATTGAAATTATCCAAAAAAAAATCTAGTAAATAATAAATGAAATTAATGATTATAAAATACAATCAATCAAAAATAAATTTAGGAGAAGATATGAATATATTATTTTTATATAATATTTTGATAATTAGTTATATTATATTAATATTTATTTTTTATTTTATAAACTATTATTATATTTTAATTATTTTTGCATCATGTTTACGTTTTTATTAAAAACATATCCTTAGACTGTTTCCAACATTTATCACTCTCACTCGTTATCATTTTAAAATTTAAGACAAATCCATTTCATTAAAATAAAATTCTGATTAACATTAAATTTTGAATTTAAATATATATTTTTATTTATTACATATTTAGTAAAATTAAAATTAAATATGTATAATTATAATTTTATGATAAATTATATTATAAATCATTCAATTTGACATTAAATTTTATATAAGTTTCTGACTTTTACTTTCATTAAATTACATCACAAAACATTTATACCTAACAAGTTATTTTCTTTAGATACCTCATATTGAAGAAATTATGTCTATAGAATATATACAAATCAATAAACTAAAATAAATTTTAAACAAATAGAACCTTACGATCATTCAAAATATTAAAAAATTGATTATATTCAACAAAATAAATCATGTATACATATTAGAGCAATTTGTATTAAAATTAACTTTTAGATACATTAGTGATTGAGTCTATAAACAATCACATAAGAGATTGAAGTATCAATTAATACTGTCTTAATTTTTAATAATTTTTCTATAAAACCATTAAAAAATTAATATAATTTTAAATAATATTAATAACATTTTTTTAAAAATCTGATGATGGGGAATAATCTCATATAATCATTTTATAACCAGGGTGATCTGGCGTGGCGTTCATCCAACGCAACGCGTCCTCCTGTAAACCGGCATCGCATCGCACCACAACCAGCAACCCTCGAGTCTTTCTCGCACGTATATATATTTATTCCACCTACTATTTCTACTTGTTTTATTCAGTTTTCCCTCTCCTTTCAAAATCAAAATTAAAGTATCTTTTTCTCCAAGGTAATTTTCTTTTTCCTCCCAGTTCGTATCTTCTTCTTCTTTTTTGTTTTATTTTGCAATGCGAAGATTTGAAAGTTTATTATAATCGCAAGTGCTTAGTCTCTCATCGATTAAATTTTGCAGTTTCGTAATGTCTACTTTCGGTGCCGCCGCCGCCAATCATAACCCTAACAAATCATTCGAGGTATCAGCTCTTTAATTTGTATAAGATATTTTACACGATTCACATTTTTTTGTTTAATTTCCATTTGCTAATATATATTTTTCGAGTTAAATTATATATATATTATTTTTAAACTTGTGAGTTTATAAATTTCTGTTCCTTTACTGTATTTTTTATGTTGAGGAGAAACGATAGAAAAAAATTATTCTTAGCTTTTGGTTAAATGATACTTGAACTAGTGATAATGTGATAGACTGATGATTTCCTCCTTTCTTTTTGGAATTTTTCGAGGGATAAATACGGGCAAGGGTCTATGTCATTGATTAAAAAAGATACTACAATTGAAAAAAGAACTCGAAATTTGAGCTTGGTTGAACTTTTTGATGCAAGGGGTTTTTACCTGTAGGTTGCGCAACCGCCCAGTGATTCTGTTTCAAGCCTTAGTTTTAGTCCCAAAGCCAATTTCTTGATTGCTACTTCATGGGATAATCAGGTATGCGCACTTTGCTTTGTTTCATTTTTTGATTCTTGTGATCTCAATCTTGTTCTTTAAGTTCTTGTACGGAGTTGAATTATTGGATTTTCTTTATTGTTGCTTCCCTTGTAGTTTGCTTGGTTAGCTGAAATGTGACAACCCCCCCTTTTTTTTTTCTTGAACAATTTTGCAGGTGAGATGTTGGGAAATATCCCGGAATGGTACAGCTGTTGGTAGTACTCCAAAGGCATCAATTACTCATGATCACCCGGTAATAAGTCAAAGTCTATTGCATTTAGGGTGCGTTTGGTTCACGAAATGTAAGATTATTAGTGAGAATAAAAGATTACCAGAAAATAAGATTACTGGGAATGTTGTATTTTGTGTTTGGTTGGTTTAGCAGGAATGTAAGATTACCGTGTTTGGTTAAAGGAATAAAAGATTATTGAAATGTATATTTGACCAAATTATCCTTATTATATATTTGTATAATATTACAAATTATAAAATATTTATATATTTTCTTTAAAAAATTAAATTCATAATATTTATATAATTTTTTTTACAAAATTAAAAATATAAAAAAAAGTTTAATGAAAGTAAATTTTTTTTAACCCTTGAACTTCATATAAAAATTTTAATTATAGAATTTTTTTTATAAATCTAAAATAATTTAAGGATAAATTTATAATTTAATCTTCGTAGAATTTTTATTATTCAATGATAGAATAATGATATTTTTGAAAAAAAAATAAAAATTTAAGGATATTTTAGTCCAAAACACCGGTAATGTTATAATATCTAAAGGAAAAGAGGTAATGACATTCCTGGTAATATATCCTAAAAATTCTACTATTGATAATAAAATATTATCGGGAATGAGATTCTTGACCAACCAAACATGAAGAATTTTACATTCCTTGAACCAAACATTCCCTTAGTGATGTATTATTCTACTTTTCAATTTGTAGCTGTAGTAAACAAATTATGTTTTCTTCTTGCTCTTTTAAAAGGTTTTGTGCTCAACTTGGAAGGATGATGGTACAACGGTCTTTTGTGGAGGCTGTGACAAGCAGGTCAAGATGTGGCCTTTATTATCTGGTGGTCAACCAATGACAGCTGCCATGCATGATGCCCCTATTAAAGAGGTTGCTTGGATACCAGAGATGAACCTCTTAGCTACCGGTAGCTTGGACAAGACATTAAAGTAATACTCTCACCTTTCCGTGTTTTTGTACCATTGAGAAGTTGAAGTCATGTTTTCGGATATCGGGTCCTAGTGATTAACTGATTAAGATCGTGTTGAATAATGCATTTCATGTGAGGGCTCCCTTGCCATATTACTAAGTGATAGTAGTTTTTGGTCCACCCGATTCGATTTGATCCGACCCGAGAATAAGTAGTCCTCTTCTTGAGATCCGACCTGATTAAAATAAGTTTTCACCTAATTTGAATATGATCTTATATATAACTTAAAAACTCAACCCGACCCGTTATAATAAAAATATTATTTTTATTAAATAAAAACAGTGATTTAAT